ACACTGATATGGTTGGTGAAACAATTCAAGGTTAGAGACCGTGTCGTAAGCATGTGGTAACATATAATAATATAAAAAAAATTTATTAAAGTAATAAACTAAACTAGTGTATACCTCAGGTAATTATCTACTTAACCTTACAAATCCTTTTTTAACTATGTCCTTCCTGTGTTTAAACTACTTACCTGTTGTAAAGTCTTTTCACAATGAAGACAGGCTGTTGAAACCTGTGACAACAAAATTGTCATATCTTCTTGTTGCTGCCTGAGCCAAATCAATTTTTCTCGAACATGAGCATCAACAACACTTAGAGCCATTTCTTCTTGACGACACAGAGTTTCATGTAGATCAGAAAAGTAAGCTCGGACACATGACCGGGCATTCTCTGCAGTACCTGGTACCTAAGGAAAAAAAAATAAGCTTTAAACAACTGTAACCATAACTAAGATTGTATATGTGAAATAATGAAAATTTAAATGCCATTTATATCCTTAAAAAATTCTAAGATTTATACATCCATGCTAGATCTTTCCCCTTAATCATAGCCTTTGGATATCTAACTGTTTAAATGACATCTCAAGCAAAATGGAATACCTCATCTCCAGTCTCTCCCACCCCCAACCTAGTTTCCTCCATCTCAATAAATGGCAACTCCATCCTCCGGGTTGTTCAAGATAAAAACACTGGAATCATCTTCAACACTTTTCTTCCATATCTCAAAACTCATCCTTCAGCAAATTCCGCAGACTTCAGAATATATCCAGAACCTAATCATGCCTCAACACTTCCACCTCTATCAACCTGATCCAAGCCATTATCATTTCTCATCTGATTATTATAATAGTTTTCTAATTAGCCTCACTAGATCTACTACGCCCCCTACAATGTATTCTCCACCCAGCAGCCAGACTGATCCTTTTAAAATAAGACAGAAAGATAATTATTTTGCTCAACTCTTCCGTTGTTTCCCATTCCACTCAGCGTAAATGCCAAAGTCCTTTATAAGGGGTGTTCAAGGACAGACTCACTGAGAAAGCGACATCTGAGCAAACACCTGAAGGAGGTTAAGACCGGGAACCACATGAATATCTTGAGGAAGAGCATTCCTGGCAGAAAGAAGAGCAAGTGCCTATAAGACCCTTTCAGACTTCAACTCTTGCTATACTCCTCCCTCAGTCATTCTACTCTAGCTCACTTAGCCTTCTCACAGATTCTTAAGCACACCAGGCACACTCCAACTTCAGGCCTGTTTGCACATGCTTTTCTCTCTGCCTGAAATGCTCTCCCCAAAATATTTGCACGATTCTCTTTCTTAGCTCTTTTAGGTCTAATCTGTCCTCGAATATCCCACATAAATGTGCACTCCACCCTTCCCCTTGTTTTTCTCCAAAGCGCCTTACATACTGCTGCCATAAGCAGTTTATTTATTGTCTCTCCCCTCACAGTAGAATGTAAACTCTGCAAAAACAGAGCTTTTGACTTGTATAGTGGTGTCTCCTCAGCCAGAACAGTGTTAAGCAGTTGGTATGTGTTCGATAATATTTCCTGAGGGAATGTATAATATTTCTACTCTAGCACAATAATATCCAAAAAAACTTTCTGTGATGATGAACATGTTCTATACATGTGCTGTCCAATATCATAGCCATAAGCTACTACTTGAAGGGTATTTGAAATTCAGCTAGTGAAAATGAGGAACTAAATTTAAAATTTTGTATTTTATTTAATTTTTAAATAATTTAAACTTAGCCACATGTGGCTAATGGCTGCTATATTTGACAGAGCTGTTCTAATATTATTCCTCAACGACTTAGCTTTAAATTTGTTTGATTAAAAAAAAACATTACATGTTGTCTGCCCTTGTATTTTATATTCCCATATGAAAAGATTCCTTTCTCTATAATTCAGTTTTAAAAAGCAATGACAATTACCACCTTAGTTCCTTCCTTCTCTTCAAATTTCTTAAAAGTTAGCACACTCATTTCCCAACGCCCACTTACTCTTCAGTTCACTGGAGGGTATCTCCCCTTGATTACTTCAAAGAATAAATTCAACATGCAAATTAAGCTTATCACATTGGTCCCATTACCCCCTCCCAAAACTCTTTCTTCTCCGCCATTAGTGCATGATGTCACCATCCAGCCAGTTAGGCAAGACAGAAACCTATGCATCGTGCCTGACCCTCCAAGTTACCTAACCAATCAGTATTATTAATCAATCACTAAGAACTACCTATTCTACTTCTTTAAAATCTCAAATCCATCTTCTACTCTCCATTCTCCCTCCATAACATCTCTCAGCTGGATAATTTCAGCACCTCCTAATAGGTCTTCCTGCTTCCAATCTTTTTGCTCTTCCAATTCATTTTCTGCATTGAAAAGTAACCTTTCTTAATGAAAATCTGGTTGTTATTCTTATGCTCTTAAAGTCCAAACTCTTTAACATGGCTAACGAGATCTTGCATGATTTGGCCCTTACCTCTCCAATGTCTTTTCTTGCCATGCCCTACCCAATACTCCAAGCTTCATCCACAGTGAACTAAACGTTCTACAATATGTCCAGTTCTCATTTCCAGGCATTTTATTCTATGCTTCCCTCTCTGGAACGACTCACTTCCCACTCCGCTCTCCTCCGTGACTACATTTCTTCAAATCTCAGTTTAGACATCATATCTTCTGTGAAGTCTTACCTGACCCACCTAAATTACTGTCCCCCTCTTATGTACTGCCAAGGCATCATGTACTTCTCCCACAAAATAAACAGCTACCACACTTGAAACTGTCTCTCTTCCATGATGGATTCTAAGTTCCATGAAGATAGAAACTTAAAAAAATTATTTCCAGTGTTTCGTGCAGTACTGGCACAACATAATTACTCAGTAAATATTAGAAGGTGAAAAGTAAGAAGGAAAAAGGGTAAAAAGGTAAAGAAGAAAGAAAATCCATACATGTTCTGTGTGGGCCATTGCAATCCCATCTTCCACTATTTGTTCTCCTCCTTCAATGTGCTGGACAATTCCAACTAATTTTCTGGAATAATCTGAGATTTCCTCAGTGAAGGTCCGTATGCAGTGAGCCATATCTAAAATTGATGCTCGGATCTGGTTGGCTTCTGGTTCCAATACTGAATGCTATAAAATGCAATGTAATTATAGAAAAAAAACTCAAAGTATTGACTAATGATATAAAAAACTATTAAATCACGCCTATTAATAAAAAAAGTTTCAGCCACAAGTGGCTTTTTTAACACATTTACAAAAAGTACAGCACACAAAATACTAATTCGCCTTCACCCCAAAACTATTTATCCTGTGAAGAAATAATTCAATATTTGGAAGTCCATTTATCACTAAATAAGAACCCAAAAGACTCTCTAAAATTTTATCATAGGCAGTAGTTCATCAGTAGACATAAATATTGTCAAAACAATCCAGTGCATTATGAAAACATGCATACAAAGAAGAGAACTTTTGTTTCCTGCTGGAAAGCTATTTTTCAGTAAAGAAAGAATCATGAGGCCTCTCTGAAATTATTATTATTCAGATATTAAATCTCTCATTTCTTTTTAGGCTACCAAGCTCAACTCACTCATCACTTACTCTCTTCAATCTCTGCTTTTAGCATAAGAACCAAATCAGTGAAAATAAATGGCAGGCTGGTAAACTAGGCAGAGTCATCCAGTTTAATTATATTCATACCTTGTGCCCTTGGTGTTTTCCATATTCTTTGCAGACACAGCACATAAGTGGGCTAGTTTGACAGCCTTCTTCCAAGCAAACAAACTCAATGGCATGCACCTGATGCTGAGAGCACATGGTTTTCTCATGAGGTTTATCAGCTAGAGGCACTCGCCTGTGTTTTGCTAATGTCTTTGTAGAATGAGTAACTTGGGAACACTCTGAGCATAAATGAGTTGCACATACGGTGCAATATACAGATGCGATGTGAGCTTCATCTTCATCACAACGAATGATGCTCTAATAAACAAAAAATTAATTTCTTAAAACTGAATCCCAATTATTATAACATGACAAATTTTGAAATATAAAAGCTTATAATTTCTTTAACTAACAGACTTTATATATGAAAATACACAGGTAATTAAGTACAAAGGTCATTTGCTACTCATCTGAGAAAGTATTCATTTCTATAGATAAAAAGTGAGTAGCTATTTCCAAAATTGATTACCAATATATGCTATGAATCTGAAGCCAAAAATAAAACTATTCTCATAGATTCACAGTCAGTACAAAGATGTCCTCCATGAAATCCTCTCACTTTACACGAAGAAACTGAATAGAGGTTAGAAGTCTTTTTTTAAGATTAAAAAACTAATATTAAATACATTCCCACTGCTTTAAATATTATTTGTCATGATGACGTATAGGAAGAAGAGAAGCACAAATGCTATTTAGATAACCAGGGGTGTGCATGAGAATCAGTCCCGAAGCTTTTAAAAACTTGTACACTAAGACTCCAACCTGGAAAATACTTATTTCAATAGGGTATAGATGAAACCTGAGCTTGTATATTTTTCCTAAAGCTCCACAGGTAAGTCTATCACAAGATTCTGATTGAAAGCCACTGATTTAAGCAATTTAAAAAAAATAAAACCTGTTATATATAAACTTTTATATATTATTTCTCATTTTCATGAATTACTAAAAAGCATTTCAAGTTGGAAAGTTTCACATGTCAGATAAGAATGCTTTGGAAACTTTTGCTGAATATTAAAGGCTATAATTGGACAGGGAGAGATCTGGCATAAATTTTTTCCAGAAATAAAATTTAGAAAATACATCAATGATTCCATTCAACATCACATGAAATAAAAAATCAACCCAAAGTTAAACAGTTTTGTTTGGAATTATAAGAAATGTATACATGTAAAATAAAAAATTCACATCTTCTGTTTTCCGGACCAGACAAATAATTTACAAGGTCAACATTAGATAATAGTCTAATGTCTTTTGAAACAAAGATAAGATACAGCATGTGAAAGAACAGCAAAAGTTTCAGAAAACAATGCTTCAGTTTGAAATTCATTTCACCAATTCACTTTACATAAAGAAATCATGATCTAAGAAAACAGAAGTGGAAATCAATCTGACATTTTTTCCTTGATACTAAACATATGGTTTTAAAGTTGATCACCAAAATCATTAACTGTTATTTACAACAACTATTCTTATATCCTGAACAGTCTATAAGCTATGCAGACAACTCTCTGTTAAAAATGTGTTTCAATCTGTGTTATGGACTTCTAATACTTACTGCATATTTACCTGTCTGGATAAAGAGAATACAACTACACATAATTTAACCTTCTCATGCAGATATTTTATAGCAGGAATTCCCTGAGGAACTACTGCTATCTTTAAGGCATTTTTCCTCTACACTAAATAACCTCTTTCATGGAGTTCCTGTTTCTTTCTCTGTGCTATACTGTTGACTGATTCACTTTTGCATCCTCTGCTTTAATGTAGCTGACATGTCCTTCTTATTCTTCCATGATCTTCTTAATTTTTCACTTTATCTTTGGATAGAATTGAACTATGATAAGGAGACATGTTTATACATGAAACATAATTTGGATATAGCATTTTCAGGGAATTCAAGTTTCAGTTTTACTTTTCTTCTACTACAAGTACTGTCACCTTAAGAACTATAATGTAATAAAAAGTTGTGTTTCTGGAATCCTACCTGATGGAGTGAGAACATTGTGATTTTAATGTCAAATATTTTAAATTAAAAGAAAAAATTCATGCTTATAACAACTATTTAACCAAGCTCAATCAATACCTCTCCAGATATCCCAATGGCTTCTTCTGCACCACCATACTGACCAATATGTCCATTCTGAAGTCGTTCCAAAAGCTCCAATAAAGCAAAATTCTTTTTCAATCCCCAGACACCTGAATCTCCTAGGATAAATATAAAAACAAAAACTAAATCTAGCAGAATGGAATATTAGTCATCTAACTTCATACCTCAATAGTAATTTCTAAGTCAACTAGTTTAGTCATTAATAATGTCTCAATTTTAAAAATTCAAATTCTTCCCATTTTCCTCTTATGCTAGAACAATTATCTTAATATTCTCGTTAAAAACAGAACTCAACATTCTAAGTACAAACATAAAGTTCTATTATTTTTCTATCATTTAATTTTACAAATCCTATTTTGTCCCTGACTTTTACTATATATTCTAAAACAAGTGCTTTGAAATATAGCAACCTACAGTAAGAAATACAATTTCCAATGCAACCCAGGATCCTATATCATATATATAACTGAAACAATAGTTTCACACACCAATAGTCATCCTTATAGTGTGCAACACACTGATGTTTTTAGTTCTATTTCTTTTTTAAATATTCTGTCACAACCAACTAAATTGATTTCATGGCCACAAATAAGTTATGACTTATGTTTGAAAAGCACTGTATAAAAGATACACTTAACCTAAAATAACTCCATCTCTAAGTAAACTGAAACTAGAACAGCTAAAGATAATATTTTCCCCACACTTCTCTAACCTACAACCCTATAGCAGTCTATGACTATAAAAACTCCTCCTCAAGCAAATTTACAGAGCTTCACATCAAAGTAAGACAGCAATCCCTCTTTAGTAGATAAGACTCTAGACACATGTGAATAAGGAACAATGCTTCTTTTTCCCTGAACTTGACCATAAAAGGCCAGATTAAGCATGCATTTGTACATGCATACATTCTCTCTCTCCCTCTCTTTCTCTTCCTCTCTCTCACACTTTCTGTGCCTATAAATAAAAGCCAGATCCTTCAGAAGTTAAAAAGAATAAATCTGTTATGTGTTATTACGAGCTTCTATGCAACAAATACCATCTGACACATAGCTGCCACCTAATACTGAATGAATAAATGAAAGGATGATGGGGTCACTGGCTGCAGGTCTCCCCTTCCTCTTAGCCCATCTCTTCTTTAAAAAGAAAAAAAGAAAGAAGAGAAGAGAAAAAAGAAGGGAGGGGAGG